GCGCCTTCCACGTTACATCTGCTCGAGAAAGAAAAAGAGAAAAGAAACCTCGAAGAAGAAGCAAGCTAAATAGTTGGAAATTCAAAATTCTCTCGAGATAAAATTTTACAGAGGTTCAAGAGATGTTAAGAATAGGTATTATATTTAGAATAGATATTTAAACAATTGGGATCGTCGAGATAAAATTTTATATATGATTTAAGATATTTAAGATATTAGATATATTTAAGATATTTAGAATAGATATTATATTTATATTTAGAATAGATATTTAGAAGAGGTGTTAAACAATTGAGAACGCGTAGAAAATTGCGTGCGTTACATCTGTTAGAAAAAGGAAAAAAGAAAAAACAAACTAAATAGTTGGAAATTTAGAATTCTCTCGTCGAGATAAAATTTTACACGATTTACAGAAATTCAAGAGGTGTTAAACAATTGGAAACGCATAGAAAATTACGCGCCTTCCACATCTGCTCGAGAAAGAAAAAAGAAAAGAAACCTCGAAGACGAAACAAAATAGTTAGAAATTTAGAATTCTCTCGTCGAGATAAAATTTTACACGATTTAGAAGAGGTGTTAAGCAATTGGGAACGCGTAGAAGATTGCATGCGTTACATCTGTTCGAAAAAGAAAAAAAGAAGAAACAAACTAAATAGTTGGAAATTTAGAATTCTCTCGTCGAGATAAAATTTTACACGATTTAGAAGAGGTGTTAAACAATTGGAAACGCGTAGAAAATATGTATATATATATAAGAAATGATTGAATTGTTTCCCGATGGTCGATGGATATCGGATTCCTTCCATTTATTGTTCTTATGGATGATTTACTTTGGCTACTCGAGTATCGAGTCTAGACGATCGGTTTACTTTCAGTCGTACAATTTCTCAAATGCAATAAACAAACGTTGGCTCTTTAATGGTAGCGGCAAAGCGAGGTCACCACTGTCAACGCTGGGACGAGGTGGTTAAGAGGATTTCCGATCCTGAATCTTGTTAAGGGAACGTTGAAAACGAAGCGTGCGAATCCCAACGACAGCGGTGTAGTAGCCAGCCGACTGTCGTGCGACAGCTATGGAATGTTTAGGAAATCCTAACCTGATAATTCGTACTTTATTTACCGGCCAAGTATCGCGTATAATGATATTAGTCGTGGATAAAAAAAAAAAAAAAAAAAAAAAAAAAATTCTCTCGAGATATTCTCCATAAAAATATCTCGATCGAATTGAATCACGAAATTTCTTTGAAGGAGATTTGCATGCCGAAAATGCATATCACAAATGGAATATTGTAAATGATTTAAAAGCTTAAAACGAGATAAAGGAGAAAGTTATCGCTCCCCTTTCTCTTCTCTCTCGAGAATTTAAAGTTACTCCTTATCTTAACACGATCTCGTTTCGACTACACCCTTGATCTTTTTCTCCCTTAATTTTTCGACCACGAGAAATTTCACTTAACTCGACTCTCCGTTCGAACACCTTTCCCCCCCCCCTTCGAAAATTTCAACCTCGTCCTCGGGCCGCCCGATTTCACCCTTTTCGACGTTTCTATAAAAGACCCTCGATTATTCGGTGCACGGGATTAATCCTTGGCGGATAGAGAGGTGACAGCCGGCCCTCTCGTTTGTCCTCTCGTACGGGGCGCGAAAAAAAGAAGAAAAGAAGAAGAAGAAAGAAAATGGAGGAAGGACGAGAAGAGAGAAGGAAGGCTTTCGACTCTTCACGTTCTCGTGGAATTATTTCCTAATCCGCGCCGAGATCTAAACGGTTGCCAATCATTTCCGGTTCTCGGATTAGTCGCGCGCGAAAAGTTGCCTTTAAGTAAGGGCGTGAAACTGGCCCCCTTCCTGGCCAACAATGAGAGTCTTGGGCACGAATGCTGGCTTCGTAAGCGGATTACAAACGATTTGTACACGCGCCTCGAAAAACGCTCCTCTCTCTCTCTCTCTCTCTCTGACTTTTCTCGCCCCCCGTTTCGTTCAATATTTTGAGCCACGAGTTCAACGTCGATATGGATATCTCCTTTCGACTCGTCGAGCGAATTTTCAAACTTGGAAGCCGTTTCGAAGGGAAAAAAAGAAAAGAAAAAGCGAAGAATAAACGCGTAACGTGTCCCGTGTCGTTGGGGGTCAAAATTAGATCCCCATCCTTGTCGTTAAAAATTTACGAGATATGAATGGGGAAGAAAAACTCGCCAACGATTGTTTCGTCGGAAGAAGAAGAAGGGAAAAAAAAAAAAAAAAATCTACGATTGAGATACGTAGGAAAATGGTCGGGCAAAGTGGCGTCGCGCAAGCGTGTCCGACGGCAATTAAGCGACGACGGCGTTACCTCCTCTCGGTTAATTGGCTTTCATTAATTCTTTATTGGATTGAACGAGCAAGGTGGACAACGCCGCGTGTTACCTATAATTACTCCTGCTAGATTAGATTGCGCCCGCGCAAAACAGCTGCACGAGATAACGTCAACTCGACGTCAACGAATATACTCCCTTCCCCCTCCCCTTTTTTTTCCACTCCCCTTTCCTGTTCATATCAGACACCCGTTATCCTATTTTTTAATAATCGTCACGTAATCCTCGAGAGAGGAGACGAGATATTATTTGAAAACAATCGTCGAAGGAAGTTTGTCTTATTTTCATCATTATTCCCTTCTTTCCTCAGAAGAGAAGGGAAATTCTCGGCCGAGGGAAAGGGGGTAGTGTCGAAGAATCGCCGTGTACGGTCGTTGTAATTGCAAACGGCGTTACTCCTTCTAATTGGCCTTCGTTAATTCCTCGACTTCGGCAACGGGTGAGGTTAACTGATAACGGTCGTTACTCGATCGAAAGGAAAGAAAAACGCCACGATATCGATTTCTCGAGGATGCCTCGACATTAGAAAGAAATCGACTCGTGAGTCGATTCTTTAGAATACGTTGATGCACGAAAATTTGCATTTACGTTCAACTTGATAGAATAACGTGATCGATAGTAAACGATTATCGCCATTGTTGCGATTTATTTGAAATGGATGCGTGTAATCTAAGATATTTTCGATGCGTATTTCCAAATCGTTATGAGGCGGTTTAAAATTTTCATTGTCGATCATCGAAATAAATTTAGAAAGATTATCCAAAGCGTGGTACACATCCATCCAGTGGTTAAATTTTAAAAGAATCGAAAGGGGGAGGGAGGAATTGGCACGAGCAATGACCTCTCTCTGTCTCTCTCTCTCTTTGTCTTATATCGCACAGGCAGTTTGATTTACTCTCGAGATCGATATCGAGGGAAGAAACTCGCGAGTAGGATAATTGTTCGAAGCGGGATAAGACGTTGTTTCCGTTTTTTTCTTGTTTTTTTTTTTTTTTTTTTTTTGCGCGCGCGGAGGAAAACGCCGGCCAATTCCTCTGGTTCTCACAGCCAGAAGCAGTATTAGTGCCTCTAATCACGTAGCCGTAGTCATGCGCGTAATTGTTCTTAATGTCTTTTTTTCTTCCTTTTCTTTCTTCTTTCCTTGTTCCTTTTTTTTTTTACGAATAAAAATAAGCCGATTACGAAAAGTGAGTAAGTACGAGGTTAGCCTCGAGGAAGGAAAACATCGTGGCAACGATGATGGTAAGAGGAACGAAGGAGGGAATGTGTGTTTACACGCGAGAGAGGAGAGGAGAGGAGAGGAGAAAAAGCTGATGGCTGAAAATTGACGTTGGAAATCGTCTCGAGAACGGATTGGCGGATTAACCAACGGCGTTCCCTTCTCTCTCTCTCTCTGTCAATGTGGCAATCAAAAATGGAGGAGTGTCTGTCTCTCTCTCTCTCTCTTCTCTTTTTTTTGTCGTTAACGAATTGAACCAAGTGTAATATTCTTCCCCTTCGACGAGTTTTGGTTAAACGATCAATAATTTCGAGTGAAATAATAGTGAAAACAGGAATAATACCTCTTTCGAGCGATTACGATTGAGAATTAAGTAAGACAGGTTAGCGAAGGAATAAATAAAGAAGGATCTCGAGTTACGAGTTTTAAAACGGATTGAATTAAAAGAGGAAAGAAAGGAACGAGAACGGGCGGAAGTGTCGTAACGTGAGTGGCGAGCTTGGTTAATGATCGTTGGGGATATTCCATTAAAATCTCGAAAAAAGTCCCGCGATGGCGGCCTCTAATTAGGGGACCGAGGGACGGAAAAATCGTATTGGGATCGTTTTAAAAAAAGGAAGAAGAAGAAGAGAAAAAAACCGCCGCGTTCCGTGAAATTTCGAAAGCCAGATCGATCACGATGCTACATATTATTATGCTGACCGTCCTCAAGGGTCAATAGCCGTGAAGCATCGGCCAATTAAAGAGGAGAGGACCGAGGATAAACTCGCGGATAGACTCGTCCAGAAATGATGGAATGAATGGAAGGGAAAGCGTTGTTGGGATTTCGTTTCTTCCTCCGAATATCCGTTTTAAAAGATTCTCTTTCGATAAACGAACTTATTAATCTCCTCGAGTGAAATTTCCAGAGTGAAATGGCACTTTGAATACGAATCGATAAAAAAACCTGCGAGGTAAAAGATTCACTTGGTGGCCTCCCCTCGAAGGAAGACTGGATTCACTGGTGTAGCAGAGAGTTGAACAAATGAGGGTAACATAATTAAAGCGTTGGAGAGCCGAAGACCAATTTCGGGCCATTAAAATCCCTAAACTATGTCGGTTCGATGTGAAGGCGAGGAAGAGGAAAGACCCTTGTATCTCCCGGGAAATATCTGATTCCCGCGCACATTTCGTATCGTTTCTCTCGCCGAGCCTAACATCCGCCCCCATAAATGTCCTTGACACCTTCGTGAAAGTCCACGCGAGCGTGCGTGCGACGAACGAACCATCTCTCTCTCTCTCTCTCTCTCTCTCTTTCCCTCCTATTTCCCCCTCCTAGCAGCCCATCCCTTTACCCTCTACGTCTAGTAATCGGTCAATTAAGCGAGGCGGAGGATTCGTTGTGGAGAAAAGAAGGATGAGAAGATAATACGTGACGACAGGCCGCTTACCATTGGAAGTAACGGAAGCGCCATCGTGATGGCTGGCGTCGCTATCCTCGTCGAGGTTGCTGTTGTTCAACGATGTCCTCGACTGGTGCCTTACGCTGAGGTCCCTGGGCGTGGACGGGGGGCTGGCCGGTGGCTCTTGGCTCTGGAGGGCGGCCTGGTGGTGCATCTTGCTCGACGCGCCGCCGAGGATGTCGGTGATCATGAATCTGGACCTCTGGGGCATCGTGGTCGAGGACGCGTCCCCGCGCTCCAACCCGTTGTTGCCCGCGTGATTGTTGCTCCTCGAGTCGAGCCCATTCGAGAGACGCTCCACGCTCACTCCGTTCCTCTCCACGATGTTCTCCAGCCTGTGGGCCTCGAGGCCGGACATCCTGGTCAGGTTGAGGCCGTTGCTGTTGGCCACTGTGACGCCGCTACGTGCCGCCACGTGGTGGTTCTGGTGGTGATGGACGGTCATCACGGTACACGTAGGTGGTTCCTTCGGGCTACGGCCACCCGCGGGTGCCTCTGTCGCCACCCCAGGACTCGCCCGATACCTGGGAGACAGAATCTTGCCGACGGTTGACGGGGCGTAGCAAAGTCCAACTCCGAAAACTCGAAATCCCTCCGCCTATTCCTACCTTTCCTTCCTCTTGTTCTTGTTCTTCTTGTTCTTTTTTCTTCTTCTTCTTCACTTCACTTATTTATTTTCCCTCCTTCCAACACCTTTCTTTCCTCTCCTGTCCCTGTTCGCCCCCCTTTACCCGTGACATCCCTGTGTCATTCCTATCCTCGCTCGCTGTTCGATATTCGATATCCGATCCACGAATATATAATAATTATTATCACACTGTTTCTCTCTTCTCTAACGTCAACGAAACTCACGCCGTTCGTGTTTCGCGGGAAGACGCGATGTCGCGATGATCTCGTTTCGCGAACGTTTCTCGAACGGGAAAAAATCGGGGTAATAATAAATGGCGACCGACGCGCCTCGCGCTCGCTCCACCTCCACACACGTCTCCACCTTCTTCTTCTTCTTCTTTTTCTTCTTCTTCGTCGTCGTTTTCGTCGTCGTCGTCGTCCTCTTGTTGCCGGCAATTAAGGGGCGCTCCGCTCGCCTCCTTGGTTAATTGCTAATTGGCCACTTAACATAATTGCCGCGCGTAACAGCCAGTTCGTCGGCCATTTCCGCTCTGCTTTTTCCCCTCCCTCGCCCCTCTTCAACCCCTCCCCCTCCTCCTCGTTTAATTATCAATTATTATTCCTTTCACAACGAATGTAGAAGAGACCTCTCCTTTCCTTCTTTCCCTTTTTTCTCTCTTTCCCTTTTTCACGCGACAGCGCGTGGCCTGATGACGATAACAACGATAATCCGTCGTACACATACGATACGAAACACCCTGTGACGGCTCCAACTTCTCCGCGCTCTGATCCAGGTTCCAGAGGAGATATCCCCTTAATGGAACCGGTGGCCGAAGACGACGCGATTCCACGGGATCTTGGACGAGGCACACTCGATCATCCGACCGGTTAATCACTGGTGTCGCACCGCGATTAATGGACGGAGAGGCACAGACCGAACCGGTTATATATACTCTCTTCTCTTCTCTTCTCTTCTCTTCTCACCGAAAACTCTTCGAAAACAACTCTGTTGTCCTCTTTCCTTTCTTCGAAGCGAGGAAACAAAATTTGTTGGTCACTTTCGATCGTGTTCACCGTGCAACGATAGTCCAATCGGAGGCGGGGGGTGACATCTTCCTTCCTTCCTTCCTTCCTTCCTTCCTTCCTCCCCCCTTTTCGAAGCTAATCGATCCACGAAGCCTAGGATTTCGTTTCAATTAAGCCTTCGATTTCTCTCTCTCTCTGTCTCTCTTCCTCCCTCCCTCTCTTCCTCCTTCCCTTCCTCCCTCTCTTTCTCTCTCTTCTATCGGAAGAAACGCGCGCGCGCGCGCGCGCGGAAAATGGTCGAAAATTGGTGCGTGGAATGCGTCGAACTCGCGGCGAATAATTGGAGACGGGAAGAAAACGCGCGGCGGCGAAAGATCGTTTCGAGTGATGAAGGATTGATCGATCGTTGTCGAGAATCGTCTCCCGTGTAGAATCGGTTCGAGGCCGAGGCGTGCGTTGTGCATCGGGTTGCCTCGACTGATCTGCTCGCACTGAACGGGACGCCGACCGCCTCCGTTCCTCGTTCCTGGGCGGCCATATCGCCACTTCGGCACGCCCCCTGCTCCCCCCACCGCCGCCCGCTCGCGGCCAATCGGGGGGAGCGGCGCTAACGAGCCGGCCAATCGGCGTAACGGGGACCTCGGCGCCTCCGCTACGTGGCGCGGCTACGCCCAACTAATTTGAAATGTGTTTCAGCGGTAATTCGATATAAAATTGTAGTTAATATCTTTCATTATAGCGCGGCCCGGGTGGGAGGGAGGAGTCGAGAGCCGAGTCGCGCTTGGAACAGCGCGGAGAGCGCGGATGGAGGGGTGTCGAAGGGAGGTCGAGGGGGGTCGAGAACCGACCGAATCGGGGGAGGAGGGGACGGAAGGGGGGGCAGAAGAAGAAGGGGTTCGAAAGGAGGAGAGAGAGATTGATACGAAGCGCGCTTCCAGAGCTTCCACCGGAGCTCTCTCGTTCTCTCCTCTCCTCCTCGCTCGAGGAGGAGAGACGTGACCACCTGGAAGGGGGTTGAAGAGGCATCGAGGACGAAGGGTGATAGTGATGGTGGTGGTGGTGGTTGTGGTGGTGATGATGGTAGTGGTGGTCCTTCTACCGCGGATCCGTTCGGCTGCTTCTACTTGGGTCGTCAAGGATGCGGACCAAGGATGATTCTACTACTCTTCGCTCCGCACGAAACGAACTTTCCCAAGTTCGAACGTTTTTCCCCCTCCCCCCGTTGGACGATTTTAAGGCCGATTCTCGAATGCTTTTCGGCTAATATCGGTTAAAATATCGCGTTACGATTTGACTCGAAACGATTATTATCGGGCGATTCGATCGATGCAAAGATTAATAACTTAGGTAGATACGTATAGGTAATGATAAGAAGAATGGGTTAGGACAATTTTTTTGCACAATTTCTTAATTTCTCGTTCTAATTCTTCGTACGTTTTAATTTTAATTACGTATTTTGAATTTCGAAAGAATCGATGATGAAAAGGAGACAAGTGATGTTCTCTCGCGAGCGAAAAAATAAAAATAAGAAAAATTTCCGATATTCTTCTCGCGTCGTCTTCGCGAAAGAAAAGTGGTGATTGGAACGAGATAGGGGGAAAAAAGGAAAGGAAAACGAAACTTTCCCAACACCACCAAAAATTTCACCACCGGTGGATCAGTGAATCGGATCTAACGACCATCTGGTTCGAAGGTGTTTCAAAGCCTCCTCTCTCTCTCTCTCTCTCTCTCTCTCTCTCTCTCTCTCTCTCTCTCTCTCTCTCCGTCCCCCCTCTCTCCTTCTCCCTCTCGATGTCTGCCAACTATGCCCGCTCCAATTTACGTACGGTGTGTGTGTGTGTGTGAATGCTCTTTCTGGAATCTATTGGAGCGTTTCGAACGTGAAAATACGGTTCACGCTCGGAAACAATGAGCGCAAGCGTCGAGGAATAATTATAACAGCGCTCGCCTCGTATCGTCGACGAACGAACGAACGAACGAACGAACGAACGAACGAAATCGGATTAGACACACCGCGGTGAATCGAAATGGAAGAATTATAGAAATTAGGGTGGCATCATTTAATTAGGGGCGGTGGAAGCCGATAGGCGGATGCGTATTTACGCGAACGAGACCCCCATATGGCGTGCTGTGACAACGCGATTACGTACACCGTGTGTTTGAAAGTAGGATAGAAGAGTTTAATATATATGTATATATATATATATATAAAAAAAATCGATCGAATTAATCGATACATTACGTATCGTATAGTATTTATAGATAAAGCTAGTATTTTGTAAGGATTCTTTCTTCGTATCCGTTGACGCTCGATCGTTTATTTATTTATTTATTTATTTTTTTAAAACAATCAATTTTCTCGCTCCAAAAAACACTGAGATGATGATGAAATACAAAGATACGAGAGAATCTCTCTTCTTCCATCTTCCGTTTTCGACATAAATATATCTAAATAAGTTGAATAAGTGTAAAAGTAATCGCGCTTGAATAAGCCTCGAGGGAGAAAAAATTGCGAGCTTCGAACGAACTCGTCTCACCCCTCCTCTCCCTTTATCGAACAAATTACGAGGCCGAATCGCGGGCTAGGAAATGCTCCCGTCGTTAAGTGCTCAGCTATTCGCGCTAACTACGCTGCGTGACGTGTTACCATTAAGCGACGATTATTACACGCCGTAGAAAAGAATAACGAAACGTTATATCAACGTCCTCCCCCCTCTCTCCTTTTTTTTCCCTCTTCCACTTTTTCCTCCTCCTCCTCCTCCTCCTCCTTTCCTCCCCCACATTTGTACGAAACGAATAAAGGCGAACGACGTCGGCTCGATGTGAAGAAAAGAGAGAAGAAAGAAAAAGAAACAGGTTAACGGAGCCTGTAATGAGACCATCAAACCGTGACACGATTTAAACCACGGCCACCGCGGCAAGAAAGGCGAACGCTTAGCTTTTCCTCCCTTCGGTTTGCACCTACGGCTTTACTGCCCTTTTGCGGATGTGCAACACCCTCCTCCTCCTCCTCCTCCTCCTCCTCTTTCTCGGCGCGCCTCATGTCGACTCATTAAAGGAACATGAGAATTAGTCACGAGGTTAGAGGCTTCGTTGAACAGAAGGCCGAACGCGAACAATGACTTTTCCGTCATTTTCCATGATTCCAGACAACAAGAGGGGGAGGAAAAATCGTCAAGAGTTGTTTGTTATCTCTCGAACTCGGTGTTTCTTAATCGACGAGAGATTATTATTATATTATTATTATTATTATTATTATTATTATTATTATCTGTTTACAGCCCCTCGATTCAACGTTGAGAGTTTTTTTTTTTTTTTTTTTTTTTTTTTTTTTTTTGCGAGAAAATGAGATTCTTCGTGTCTTTTTAAATACGCGTCCATCGAGAGAAATGAAAAAACTCTGAAAAGTTTTCTTAAGCAATTGCACGATTGAAGGATTGGTCGAATGGAATACGATTTTGAAGAATCGAGTATCGATCGCGTTTTACGAGGGGGAAGGGGAGAAAGATTGGACAACTAGGTGTTTGGAGTTATTCGGAACGAAACGACCTTTCGTGACGCGATTTGCCGGAAGCGTGGCTGCTTTCAAGGATTTTTATCCGATCGTAAACCAGCTTTCACGACCGATTTGTGAACTTATTTCATTAAACGTTTTCTTTTTCGTCCCTGAGAGAAACCCAATCTGAAATCGGGTTATCAGGTTAGAGTTTATTAGAAGTGTGCGCGGTCTCTAGAAAAAGGAAAAGAAAAAGGTTTGATTCGCGCGAAAAGTGAATTTTTCCTTTCTTTCGAACTCGCTTGGGATTTTTTTTTTTTTTAAAACACCTTTCCGAGGAGGAGGCGTAAGATTCACCGAGGGTTAATTGCAAGTTGATGAAAACAGTTTTAACGCTTTTAACTTTTCACTTGGCCTTCCACACCACGGACGGCGAGACTCTCATGTATATTTAATAAACCGACACGTGGGTACACTTGTCTAACCTGTTAACGCGATACATGGTGTATCCATGTTAATTCGCTCTCGAGGCTTTAAAAAATTCAACAACCTAACCGCGCTTCTTCACGCCCGGCTGCACCCTCTCCTCCTCCTCCTCCTCCTTCTTCCGATTCGTTCGCCGGGATCGAACTTGGAGAAATTAATCTATTCTAAAATCATCCAGCTCGCGAGAAGAGTAATAATAATCATTCTCATAGTCGTTCTATCGAAGCAGCGATTAAGAAAGGAAAGGCTCGTATCGTATCGAAGAGAAAAAGATCGTTCTCTCTTTAGAGTATCGAGAAATAATAAAATAGTAAACTCGATTAACCATTCTTGTAATCATATCGACGAGATTGACCAATTTCAATCGTCAACGTTCTATGGAAGGAGCGATTAAGATCCAAGAAAGGAAAGGCCATTGAAAGTATCGTATCACAGCGAAGAGAGATTAAAATAGTAAACTCGATTAACCATTCTCGTAATCGTCAACGTTTAATTAATCGAGAGACATCGTACTGACGATGTCAAAACAATTGTCAACGTTCTATGGAAAGAGCGA